TTATAATGCTATAACTTATTGAAAAGTGTATTGATCAATATAATTTTTTTATGGGAAATACTATTTTCTAATAATCTCTTTTTTATTCGACATACTTTGTCTTAATCAGGATATTAATAAGGAACTAGCAGTTTATGAAGCTTTTGGAATAATCCACCAATTTTTTAAAATTAAACACTATCTAAAGATTTGCATCGAAGCGTTTTTTTTTGATAGTGATTTTAATCACTGTCAGATATCATTATACTTGATCCAACTATGCCACGTCACCACTGTGCCGCGACCCCCCTGTGCTGGGTTTATTATAATTAACTTTATTAAAATATTTTCAAGAAATGATAAACATAAGTCAAAATGATAAAACACACGAGTGTTATGACAGTGAGAGCGTTAATCATAGACTCATTGGCGGCTTCCAGACATGACTTGTATTTATGCCAACATCTACGGTCAAGGATAAGTGATAAGGCATCTCGGGTTTTGTTTGAGCGTGTCCTATACCAGAGACTACCCCGACAAACGCAATCCTCTTACTCTCTCCAACATTTTTTCTATAGGTTGGGTTGTAAGGGGCTTTGGTCACAGAAGTGAACGCCCCTATATAGTTTGTTTTCTCCAGTATGCTTACTGTTATAAGACTTCCGAGAAACAGTTCCACTATTCACCTAATCAGATCCCGTTCCAGTAGTGTTTGTACCAGTTATGGCTTCTGATCGAGTTTATCTTCCCATAGTCTCCTCCCCATTTCCCAACAGCGTCTATGCAGTTCATAAGCTACCATATTGAAAAAAATTTTTAAAAATTATTTTCTTGATTTTTCATGTTTAATGTTTTTGTTACTTATAGGCGGAGAAAATGGAAAAAGAGGAGAAAATATATTGATAAAACGTGATGGTAGAAAAATAAGACTTGGTGCTAAAACTGCTGTTGATATGGAACCTGGTGTAAGTTAAATGATAATGTATATTAATCACTCATTATTATTTGTTTATTTAAAACGCAAAATTTTGATAATCAATTACAGGACACCTTTTTCTTGTTGACTCCTGGAGGAGGTGGTTATGGTTCATTAGTTAGCCATACTAATGATATTAGTAGTAATATTAAAAAAACAACTGTCAATTCTATCATGGAACGAGGTTCGTTATACAATTATCAAATGCTCCAAGAGTCAGTTTAAAAATTATTATTTATAAATACATATTTTTTAATAAAAAAAATTGATAGCATTTATATATCTATATATTTATTAAGTCTTTACTACATTATGATCATCTACTATGGCCATATACAAACAAAAAATTGTCAAAATATCAACTAATG